TGTTCTTAAAGTTTAGCAATGTGCTTAGAATTTATATAGCTGTTCTGTATGTAATGTTGTGTGTCTCATGAATACCTTTTAAATTACTAAAGGTAGTGAATACAAATTATATAGAGGAAAATAAAGTTTCCTATAACCTATAAGAATATGATACTGACTGTAATTAGGATAAATGTGGAGAGAAGCTTGGCTAATCTGTACATGGAATTTAGTTTTTAAATCCTCTTGAAAATTCAAATTTTAGATATCTAATTTTATTCAAGGTATTTGTGGCAAAAGGATTCAATCAAGAAAGTTGAATTCTTGTTCAGATTCCAGACCTCTTGCATCCAACTCATTAATATCCAATGTTAAGGTGTTTTCTGTGAAATTTTTTAGAGTTAATGACTGTGTGAATATATCAGTGTATTTTTTTTTATTTTTTTTTATTTCAGCTTTTGTGTCTCGTGTCGTTTTGTCAGCTGTGATGAGGAATCTCCATGAAAATAAAGTTTCAAGTCAGTTGTCTGGAAATTCAGCTAATCATCATGCTGATAATTCTAGACATGGCTCAAATGAAGACTACCTACAGATGGTGCACAGGCTAAGTAGTGATGTATGTTACCTAGATCAGTTTATTATGATAAAGCAAATATTTACTATGATAAAGCAAGTATGTGTTTAGTTGCCTTAGAAGTCAGATATTTTACTATGTTGTTGTTGATGTATAAAACCACTGAAAATTATTTCAGTTTCAGATGTGTACACTCAACTGTGCAACTTTAATGTGTGAGATTTAATTTTTTCTAGATCTCTCTTTCCTTTGGAACGGTCTGTAACATTGATTCTGATGAAATTATGAGAACTAAAAAATCTTACTCATGTGAGTTTATTTTAAAGAAATGGTAAAGTGTCTCTGCAATTATTGTAGCAATATGTTGATGCAAACAATACTAGATTCTAAACGGGTGTATAGTTAAGTTGTCTTTCTGAAGATTCCCCATAATTGTCAATTAGACTTGACATATTTGAATAACCTATTGGGTAATATAGTAGTGTTGACAAAGGCAGAAATTCCTTTGGACGCTTTTTCTTACTGGTCTATTATGCGCTTTTATAACCTGGTTTCTTTATAAGAAGTTTTCCCTTAGTGACTTTAGTTCACATGGGAGAAATTCTTTCTGAAATTTTGAATGTAAAGGGAAAAAAACCAGCAACTTTCTCTCACAGTGTTTTGAACTTCTTAATTTTGTTCTTAATGAGCATCTCATCCTGTGGATGAAGCATGTTGGGATTCTTCTTTACAAGTTTGGCACACAGTCTCTTAACAGCTCTTAAGGGGAGAGCACTGAAGTTTCATTTTTATTTTTTGACTTTAGCTTTTTGAACAGTGCGGTTATAGTGATGCCTACAACATAACAGTAGTTACAAAACTTATCAAAACCTGGTAGCAAGCAGGCCTTTTTGTGTGTGTGTGTGTGTTTTATTTAGCTTACAAAAACTGTGGGCAAGTCTTGTCTTCCTAAATTAGCTTGTGGAAGCAAAAAAGGGTGTTGTATTCAACAAGTGTACTATTAACACCAGGCTCCCTAAATCCCTTACAGGATTAATACACTAGAACTCCAAGAGAGTTATTAGTTTTATTAGTCTTCTTTTTTTTAAATGCAAGAATTATGCTGATTAAAAATATTAGCTAAGAAGTAGTATCTTAAACAAGAGAGTTTTGTAATGAAGGAATCTATCATAATACACAATCATCAGATGTTTTTCTCAGTCTCTGCTTCAGCAATGCAAATTCTTCAAAATAAGAAGCTGTTCTTGGCATTAAGTGTACGTATATCCCCCAACTATGTTAAAGGTACACTTTCAAGAGAATCTTGGTTTTGTTAATACAAGATTTTTGGAAAACTTTTAATATTAGGATAATTTAATTCACAATGTTTAAAGAGGAAGTATTTAAAAATATTCACCCCTAATTTTGTGATCCAAGCAATGCAACTGCATCCTAGTTCATGAGAACTTATAAATGAAACTCATTCAAAGCTGACAGAATATGAAAACATAAAACATACCCTCATTGTTCGGTTTAATTGGAGAAATACTAAAGGTAAAAAGTAATTATACCTTAAAAATCTGATTTTAGTAGCTGTCATGCAGAAAACAGTTTGAAGAATTTGGATTAATTAAAGTTTTGCATCTATGTATGAATAATAAGCTTAATCATAATGTTGCAGCCTTTTCAGAAGCAGTGTGACCTTTGGCACAGATAGTTATGAATGAGGATTATTAAATCATAAAACTTAAAAACTTTACTTATTGTTTAGTCTTTTTCTTAGTTTTAGGATTTTGTTGCTTTAAAAATTATGAATAGTTACAGGATATTGTGTATTTGCAATATATGATTTTGCAAAATCAGCAAGTATACCCTTGAAGGCTCACTGCGCATGTACTCAATTTAAGGACCATTTTTTGATAAACTTGAGAACATTCCTAGAATATAAGTTCGTGCTTACATTTCACCATTTGATGAAGTTCTGAACTAGGAAACAGTAAATGAGCACTTCTGACAATTTGTCAGCTATGGTAGGAATGGCATATGTACCTGAAAGGTCATCTACCTAGTTAGTCTCTTTAGTTAATTTAATAAAAGGCGCCTTTGCCTGTGT